AAACATCCGTTCGATGCTTTAGATCTTTTGCCTTGCAGCTTCTACAGTTCTCCACCGTCTGTTCGTCTGTCTATTTTGACTTTAACAATGTCAGCAACACCCCCAAAAATACAAGCACAAATACACCCACACACATGAGCACACACACACAGAGAGAGATTCACAGCTATCATTAACGCTGTCGAGGGTTGTCTATGACTTTGGCTTCTGGCCCGGGTGGTTGATGATGAATCTGTGGCCAAATACCTTCAGCTAGAGTGTCTACGGATAAAGTTTTTGGCCCACACTGGTCTACATGTACCTACATATATATACATATACATACACATATAAAGTTTCATAGAAACTTCTTCACATTTTATTTAGTGTTTTTGTAGCCTTTCGTAGAATGAAAATTTTATGACCACGGCGTCTGGCAGGCACAAAAAAAGGCGAATATTTTATCTTAATTGCTTTGAAAAACGTGCGTATGTCTATTAAAGCTGTCTGAGTTTATGCCATTAACACTTTTTATTTCCTCAATTGTCAAACGTTTCTATAAGACCTGAGAGCTATATAAGGAAAGAGAGTTTATGAAATTATAGCTAAACATTAGGTGAAGTTTCTCAGTCTTAAAATATTAAAAGAAATTATTTGCGATGCTTATAAAATTTGCCATAAATAAATTGCAACAAAATTCAAATAAACTAAAGCCTTCTTTCAATTAAATTAGTTCAGATTATATATGAGTATCATTTATTATTCATATCAACAATTTCACCAAAAAAATTTTATTATTTTTTTTTAATATTACTAATATTTTATTTTAAATGTGTGTATATCAGGATTAAAAAAAAAAAAAATATTCTTTAGCTTATATTTCATATTTTATAGTTTATATCTTATATTTCGTATTTACACAAAATTCAAAAAAGCTGAATCAATTTTTGCATTAAATTAGCTGGTATTTTATACGAGTTTTATTTACTATTCACATCATCAGCAATCTCACCATAAATATTATTATTTTATTTAAATTTTTTATATAATGTAAATATATTTTTTATTAATTTTTTAAATTTCATATTTAAACAACTTTAGGATATATTTAATATATATTTTATTAAGATTTTTTACTTCTTATTTTTTATACGTAAATATATAAATAAATATATATATTTTAATTGTTTATGGTTTTATTTTATATTTAATATTTATTAAACTTTTAGTTATACTAAATATACATTTAATTAAAATATTTTATTTTGTTTCTATAATTTAATGTTTTATAATTAAAATGCCTTTTAACTTTAAACTTAATTTTTTTCATTTAAATATAGCGACTAACTTTTGTACTAGATCATTTGAAATTGTTGTCAAAATGTCTTGAATAACTTTTGTGCTTTATCATTTTTACGACTTGTCCAATGTCTTTTGTTTCACTGTGCCCTCGCAATTTCCTTTGTGCTTCGTGCCCTATGTCTGACTCTTGACTTTAGTCATAATAATTTGCAGGTTGCCCATCATCAACACGCCCCCCAATACTCCAACTAGCAGCCGTCGTTGCTAACCTGAGCTTTTTCTGCCTCGGCCTCTGCCGCTGCCTCGTCTCTCTATAAAATATATTTATAATAAATTAAAAACTCCTTAAATGCTGTTCATACTTGCAGCCTGCTGCCATTTTTTATTACATTTGTAGCCGGCAGTCAAAACAAAAGAGAGCGAGAGACAGGGAGGGGGAGAGAGGGATAGAAAGAGAGCGCGATAAAAAAGAACAAGATGGTAAATGTTGTTCGCCGCACAGCTAGGGCGTGGCCGGGGGCGCAAGGGCAGGGGCGTGTCAGCTGGCAACGGACTTCAGTTTAGTCGCGTTTTAGTTGTTGCTGTTGGTGTTCGTCCACGCGGCCGGCATGAAAACTTATGTCGGCGGCCTTTGGGCGCAATTATTTATACATGCCTCATAAAAATCGAAAACAATGGGCCGGACTAGGAGTCGACAGAGCAGACGAGGCCGTTGGCCAGGGCGGGGTGAGCCAAAGCCAGAGCCGAGATGCGGGCAGAAACTTGGATTCAGACTGACTCGGAGCAGGCCTGCCTAACAATGCAATGTGCAAGTCCCAGGGCTTTTGTTGTGGTCAGTGTGCTAGTTGTTGTTACTGTTGTTGTAACTCCTTTGGGCCACGCTGTCTTTTGGGCTTTTGTTCTAACTGTTGCCGCACGAAGCTCGAGTGCTTTAATTGGCCATAGAAGAGGCGTCTGTTTGACTTGGTGAGTTCATTTAAAGTGCGCCACAAACAAACTCAAATTTTACCAGCCCTGAATACTCACTCTGTGTGTGTGTGTGTGTGTGTGTGTGTCCAGCCCTGGCCATGCAATTCATCAGCTCTGTCAGCTCTGCGGGCAATGAATGCAATTTAATGATATTACGCCAGAGATTATTTTGGCTCTGGCCAGGGCAGCGGGGGGGGGAGCTTCAACCTTGAACTACGAGCAGACACAGTGAACACACTGTAAAACAACCCCGCCAATTGCATTGTGCCTGGCACTGGCCGCGGCACAAGAGATTTGAATTTTAGATAGAGCCACACACACGCACACGCATACGTACGCACTCGGAGAGAGAGAAAGGCAAACAAACATTGCAAAAATTGTTCTTGACTGGCAACAGCGAATACGAAATGTATCTGCATCTGATGCAAATCTCTCGACACATCTGCAAATGTTTGCCTCACGCATTTCTCTTGCTCTCTCTCTCCCTCTCTCTCTCTCTTTCTCTCTGGAAGTTGGCAACTCAACTCGAGTCGAGCTCATTTCACATGCAGCCAAAGCCCCCACAGAGGACGGCTGCTTACTCTGGCTGTCTGTCTGTTTGTCTGTCTTTGTGGCTGTCTGAAGCCAGCAAGGAAAACAAAAACTAAGCAGTTTGTGGGTAGGAGGAGCTGCAGCCACAGCAGCAAACCTCTGTCAAAGAGCAACCCCGAAAAATTTTATGTGTTTGGCCAGGGCATTATTTGAAGTTCCCATTAAAAATTTAAAAGGCGCTTCCCGCTGATCCTGGCCCCCGGATTGGATGTTGTTGGTCCTCAGCTCTCTTCACTTGGGGCAATCATCGTTAGGTTAGCGGCGCAAATTGCGTTTTTCTCTTTTCTTGCCTTTCGACGCGAAACGGAGGAGGGTTAGAGTCGCTGGGAGAACCTGTCGACGTTGCGACGTTGCGACGTCGCGTTAAACGCGTTTTATCTGGCGCGAGCTCAGGCCCCAAAGCCAGAGAAGAGATGAAAATAAACAACAGCATCAGCAAGCGGCAACAAATTTTATATAATGATGTTAATGATAAGCAACCAGGCAAATTCGGATATACTTACGCATATTTGTGGCGCATGCAGCCCGAAGAGGAAGACAACTTTTCAGTCTGACTAAGGAGAGAAAAAACATTGGCAACAGCGGAAGCGCCTCCAAATTGCCAGCCAAAGTAGCTGGCATCAAAATTATACACTCAGACGAAATGAAGATTGGAAATTAACTGAAATGGAGTGAATATAATAAAAGAGAAAAAACACTGATTTGAAACGGAACAAGATTTCTATAAAGATTAAAACTATTCTGAGAAAGTTTGGAAGATTTCGAAATGAAAAAGTTTGCCAATTTTCAACAGGTTGGTCTCCATGATATCTATAATATGCGTATCTGAAGTTGAATAGAAAAATTAATGAAATGTTTTATTCAATAGAAAATATAGGCAATAAAATATGAAATAATGTATTGTTAATAACATATTTAAGCATATAAGCATCAAATAAGATTACATATTGATAAAGCAAACCATTAATAAAATTTGTTAATCTCTTTTTATTATACTTAATAATTTCTTGAACTAAATTTTAAGCTCTTATAAATATTCATAAATATTAATAGTGCCCATTTATAATTGTCGAAACTGGCATTTTTTTTCTTAAATTGAATTTTGATAAATTAAAATTTAATTGTTATATTTTCAATAAAAATTCACATTAATATGTAACAAGTAATTAATGTGAATTTACAGAATATGTTAATTGAAAAAAAAAAAAGGATTTCTTGGGAAGTGCTAGATTCACAGATACCCTATGCCTAAATGCTTACACGATAAAGACATTAGGAATATCAGAGCGAATGACAAGCATACAGAATAAGAGAGAGGTGGTGGGAAATGTGATAAATAGATCAAGATAGAGAAGAGGCACGATGGGACAGGTTGACAATAATGGGATGATATAAAAATCAGTTTCTTATTGTAACTAACATATTTCTTATTATCAACCCATTGCTATTTGCTATTTCCTATTTGCTCGCATCTTCAGAGCGCCGAAAGGAAGAGGGAAAGAATGAGGGAAAAAGACAGAGAGAAACTGAGAAGAAGAAGGAGCATACGTAGTAATGGGATACGTAACAAAGGAGAGAGAGAGAGAGAGAGAGAAAACTTGAGTAAAATGAGAGGTCAGCATGATTTACAAATTGAAAATGTGAGAGAAAGAGACAATATAATAGAATGAATAAAGAAACAGAAGAAATGATCTTCGAGTTCTACATCTATAAAGAAACATACACATATTACAGTTCATAATCAGAGTATCTAAAGAGTTTATCATCTGTGACAATTTTGCGATACCCTCTCTTGAAAAACAATTAAAATTTTATTAAAAATTACAATCTACTTTTTACGACCTGCTGGGAGGCAGCTTAAAATTATTAATTAATGATGAAGTGTTGCGCCGTGGCATACAAACAAGCCACATTACATATCTCACTCTGTCTCGAATACAAACAAGCCACATTACATATCTCACTCTGTCATGCCCACTCTCTCTCACTCTTTATCTGTCACTCAGTTCTATTGCGTTCACAGATTGCTATTGTTGCCATAAGAGCAGTCGTTAAATGCAAAGTCTAATTAATTACGCAACGCAGAAAATTAATTTCCGTTGTGCCGCTTCACTTAGCCAATGCGCATTACTCATTCAGATATTTTCTCTCCTTTGCAGGATCTACATGATTGCGGAGCACCGTGCCATGCGATGTTCTTTCCGGAACGCGAGCGAACCGTCCTGCGCTACTGGGTTGGCTCCTGGGCCGCAATCTGCGTGGCCAGTTGTCTCTTTACGGTAAGTGAAGTGAGCGACAGACAGTTCGCTTTTATATACAACTTAATATTAATGCGCGCTCGTCTCTGCCACAATGTCAGGCACTCAATTTTCAATTTGATGGCGATAAATCATCAGAGACAGAACTGCAGTGCTACCACCTCCCCGCCCCAACCACCTCCCACAAGCTAAGCTTCTACTGCTTCTGCTGTTTGCGCAGGTTTTTCAACCGAGTGCTGCCATATTTTCTTTTGGCTTAAGAACATGCCTTGAGGGGCCCAAACGAAACTTTGCATATGTATGTGTGTGTATATCCTTAAGCAGCCCCAGCTCTGGCTGCTCGTGCTCCTGCAGCAGCTTCCATTATGCTGCTGCGGAGACGACGCGACGCTGGCACTTTGGCAAATCCCACGCATTGACATATTACCTGTCAGAGCATATTTTTCAATAAGCTTGGCAAAACATATGGTTAAACAGAGCTGGAAGGGGGCGGGTAGCGTTGGGCTCCTCTGCCGTTGCCATTCATATCTGCAAGCTGCATAACTTCTGTTTCACATCAACTCGAATATGCTTGCTCTAACTGCTTCACGTTGTTTATTTGCTTTAGCTGCAGGTGGGAGAGTAGTTTGCCTCTTGGCTTGTTTTCACGTCGCTTGCATACAAGATGATTGTATGTTGCCACTGAAAACAACAGAAGTGAGAGCGAGTGAGTGTGAGCACAAAGGCAAATAAATATTGTGACTGCAAAAGGCTTCTGGTTGTAGCTGCAGTCTTGCATAGTTTTCAAATTCCCAAAGGCAAACGAGCTCAGAACTAAGTTTCAATTTAATAAAAAGAGTTAAGCCAAAAATAAATGAAAGGGAGAAAATTGTCAGAATAGCTTAGCCAGCATTACTATAAATATATTTGAAAATATATAAAAGTTTATTAAAAATATAATATTAAAAGAATTAACAAAATATTTATATATAAAATTTAATACATACATTTTTAGCCATTAAACATCACAGGAAAATTAAAAATAAATATATTTTTAAAAATTTATAAAAGTTTATTAAAAATATGATGTAAACAGAATTTTTTTAAATATATATATAATATTAAATACATAAATTTTTAGCCATTAAATATATTTTTTAAAATTTATAAATGTTTATTATGTTATTAAAAATATAATGTAAAAAGAATTAAAAAAAAATTATATAATATTAATTATATACTATTAAATACATAAATTTTTAGCCATTAAACATCTCAGGAAATCGAAATAGATTATTGCTCTAAGATAAATATAATTTTATTTTATTTATTTATTTTTTTTTTTAAGTTCAGCAGAAAAGCTAAATATTAAGATATATTTTTGGGGGTTAGAGCATGTTTCTATATTTATTTTTTTTCTGTAATTTATTAAAATATTTTGTGAATTTAAGTTTATTCAATAAAATTGTTAGCCATGCCACATCACAGTCAAACAAAATTGATTATTGCTGCAATATAAATCATCTTTTAATATTCTTCCGACCATAAAAAGAGTTTATTTACATATTATCCCAACCCTTTTCAAACAATTTACGCGTTGCTCGTATGCAAATTATTGCCTTATTTCAAGCGTCTTCCATATTTTATATACATACATATTTGTATATGTATGTGTTTTACGCTTGTCTCTAGCAGAAATTTCAATCTCGAATTTGTTACCTTTTTGAGTGCAGCCCATCGCTGGCTACATAATATAATATCATATAGACCAACATATCCATCAAGTATCATGTGCCATAAAAAGTAAGCTCAATTTGAATAAAAAATCTATTTGGCTGAGCGAATGCCATAATTTGGCCAGAGTAAGCAAAAATAACGAAATATGTTAGAGAAAGAGAGAGAGAGAGAGAGAGAGAGAGAGAGAGAGGTGAGGTGGAGGGGGCTTACGAACGCATCTATCAAATATTTTAGTCAACAGCACAAATTTGTACGATCTGTGGGTGTTTGGGAGTTAACTTACAGCTAAAACTGTTGTTGGCTTGCAGCATGTCATAAAGTTGAGCTACATCCATCACACACATGTCTAGAGTAGTGGGTGTGTGTGTGTGTGTCTGTGTGTGTGGGGGCGAGAACATTGTCACTTTCAGTGCGACAAATTTTGCATAGCTGCTGCTGCTTGTTTTTCTCCCACATTTTTCCGCTTTTCTTTTGCTTTTTGTAATAAATTTCGCCTTGCATGTCATTTGTCGCCCATTGTCAGTGGCATTTCTCTATGGTTTTTTTGTGTTTCTTGTGGGCGTGGCCACGCATACCACTCTGCGCACACTATGTATGTACAAAAATGATTATTTTGTTGCCTATTTCCACTTAGTTGCCCAACAACATCCAACATCCACCACTTCCTTTGTACAGCTCCCAGTACTACATTCATTTTTTTATTTTGATGAGAATGAGAATGAGAATGATTATGTTCTCCAAGCGCGCTCATTTTGCATATTGCATTTAGGGTAGCAGCTTTCACTTTCAGCTTTGCATATTTTCCATTTCAATTTTCATTTTCATTTTTCCTGCTCAACATGGCTGCTGATGGAAATGTTTGCTTTGCTCATTTGCTGGGCAAAACATGATGATATTTTAGATTAACAGTCGATTGCCTGATAAATGTTTTTCGGTCTGTGCCTAACAAGGCTAGATGTTGCTTTAGAATACAAACAAAATTCAGTTCAGATCAATTTTGTATTCGTTCAGCTGAAATAGAATTTGTAAACAAATAAAATTCTACATATTGAAATTAAAAAAAAAAAAAAAAAAATTAATTCCTATTCCTAGTTTAGTTTATCGAACAATAACTCGTACAAGAAATATATTTTAAGTGATTCTTGTTATGAAAAAAATTAAAATAAATTAATTGGAATAATAGTAGAAAAATTAAATATATATACCAAAGAAATTAATGAGGAATAACGCAAAAAAAAAAATAGAAAAATGATAATACTGCTCTCAGAAAATATATATACTAAAATATTATTTTATCTTAAATTATACAAAACTTTCATTCAGAGCACAAACAAACAAAAGTTAAGAGCATGTCAAGACAGTGAGAGCATATCAATTTACTATTTACTTTTTACTATAGACTATAAAAGTAGACAGATAAACTGAAAAGTTTCGCATTCTTCTTGGTCTAATTGAAAAGTTGTCTGTTGGAATGGAAAAGTTGCAGATGTCAGTGCCTGGGGGCTTAGTGCAGCTCAGCTGAGTATCAACTGGAATATAAACAAACACATTTATTTCAATTTCGCCAACGCAACGCAACTCGAACTAAAACCAAACAAATATGTTTTACTATGTAACCTGACTGTGAACTTTGCCGTTTGACTTTTGACAAGCTGACAGATAAAACGCCGTGGAATCTGAGTCCCAACTTAACGCCTGGAGACAACGAGAATGTCACTGATGATAGCGGGATGAGAGCGAGGGAGATAGAGATAGAGGAGCAACTGTCAACAATCAACACCTTTTTCATTAAACGCATTAGATGGGAATGAGATGGGAATGAGATGAGCGACACGTCAAGGCATGACATTTGTTTTACAATGAAAGCGAAAAGGAAATGAATGGCGCTGTAATGGGCTCTCAATGAGTTGCCAATGGGAACCAGGACTGGGCGCGCCTGGGCTGGGCGAGAATAGTATCACATACATGTCGTAACACACGGCAGCTAGCGCTGATAATGTTGACAACAAATAAGCGAGCGGGCGACCCAGTCAGTCAGTCAGTCGGCGTTGTTGTTGACTTTGATGAGTTTTCTTAATTACAAAACCTGTAACAGAAGTTAACTGAGGCGCATGTTGACTGACAGACAGAGAGAGACAGAGTGAGATAGATAGAGAGAGAGAGAGAGAGAGAGAGAGAGAGAGAGAGAGAGAGAGAGAGAGAGAGAGAGAGAGAGAGAGGGCCGGGCAGACAATCGGGGCGGACAGGATGTGCGCAAATATGCCGTGTCACGCTGACGAAAGTGACTGCAGCCAGATCCTGAAGTTTTTAACAATATTTATATACTCACTCACTCATACATATACACATATGAGCCCCCAGGCACGGAACCGAAAAGCTCTTGCCTCACGTTGTTTGTCCAGCATTTGCATAAATGTGTTGAAAATAATCACAAATATTTGTTAAATATGCACATTTAAATGACAACATAAACAATATTTTTTTATGCATTCTATATTTTGTAATCATTTAAAAGTCTCGGACAGGCAACAACTATAAAATGTCCAATATATTCCAGTTAAACTAAAAACAGAATATCAAACGTAGCCGTAAACATTTACCACAATTTATGCCGCAATTATTTTTTTCAACAAATTCACAAAAAATAACCTGCACAAAGCTTTATGCTAATCGTAGGCGCTGAAATAGATGATGATGCCGAAGCACCCCCTAACTAACATAAGTCAAAATTGGATAGTTTTGAGTGCTTGACTGGGAAATACCCTGGTGTTGAGTAGTTGTGTTTATGGGCTTAAATTTGAGATGAATGCAGAAAACAATTGAAATTCAGAATTTATTCATAGTTTATATTGAATTAAGTCTAGAACTTTGAGTGTTCGAGATATGCTGAAATATCCAAAGATTGATATCGATTATTGTTGAAAATAGTGATCGATGTTGATAACAGCTTATATATACTTGGTTCAGGTATCATATGATATATAATACAATATATATCTTATGATATATGTATATACTTTATGGAATCTACAACGCCTTCCTCTATCAGCTACATTCACTGAACGCCAACCAATATACCCCGTATTTCCATTTTCATTTGGTTGTAGAGCATAACTATAGAGGCCCCCTATAGCGCACCCCAGTCCAGCACCTCCCTCCCTATTGTTGTTGTCTCTTTGGCAGTATGCAAATAACATAGTCATTTGGTTTGAATTTTAAATAAACAAGTAAGAAAGCTCTAGTCGAGACTACTCGACTACGAGATCCCCTGAACCCTTGGAGTAATAGCTATTTCAATAATTTTT